GCCATAAACAATAAAATATAATTTAAAAAATAATATAATACAATTAAAAAATGTAAATTTTGTATGATTCCAGATTTATATTAGAACGCAAACCACATTCAAAGGTGAGGTGTGACTGTCACTAACATAATGCTACCTACCATGTAAGACTCATAAGCTACCCACCCTCTCATTACCAAATAGCTAGGTAATCACTATTCTTGAAAGACTGGTTCTTCACGTAGCTTCCTCACAGGGAAGAGAAACTCATTTTAAATACAATGCATCAGGGATGACAAAGATGAGATTTCAAATGGATGTTTTCCTTTTTCCCCATGCCAAATTCAAAGAAAAAATTTAAAAGTGAGAAAAAGAGCAACCTAACTGGCCTCTCTAATATTGCAAAAAAAAAGGATCCAGGGATACCTGGGGACTGTCAGAGGATACACGCTATGCATACGGCCTGACAAAATAGTCTTTTAATTCAGTCTTGTATTTAGATTGAGAAATACCCAGTAATTTCAAGACCTCATTTTTTTTTTATTGTCCAAATACATTTGTCTCCCTTTTCCTGACACCATTTTCCCCTGCTCCACCCACCCCCACCTCCCACCCTCAACCCTTTCCCACTTTGGCTTTGTCCATGGGTGCTTTATACATATTCCTTGATTTGACCCTTCCCCTTCTTTTCTCTGTCACCCGCCTCCCACCTTCCCTCTTGTTACTGTTGGGTTTCTTTTTTCTTTCAATGTAGCTGGTTATATTTTCCTTGCTTGTTTGTTTTGATTAGGTTCCACTTATAGGTGAAATCTATGGTATTTGTCTTTCACCCCCCAGTTTATTTCTCTTAGCATAATGTTCTCCAGTTCATCTTTTTAAAAATGGCTCTACGACTTAAACCTTTCCAGATTTTTAGTTTTAGAATGGCTTTTAATTTGGATATTCTCTGTATATATGTTCAATTACAATGTGACCTTCTGACAGCTACATGAGATTATGATAATTAGGTAGATAGATATCAAGTGATGTGTTTTAGCATGCATTTATTCTCAAAGGAGATACTTTAAGGACACATTCCCTGGGAAAACCTCACCTATAAGAATGAGAAAAATAAAATTCTAGTTAAATTTCTATTTAAGACCAGATGGATCACAAGCAATGATGGTATGAAGGAAAATGTTTTCACATGTGAGGATGTAAACATGACTTAATATAGTAAAATGAAAAAGACAAAGAAGATCTAAGATCTGGGCTTTTCTTAAAACCAGTAAAAAAAAAGTTTAATATCTCAAAGAACATAGCAACACATAGACCTGTAGGTCTAAAAGGGGTAGTTCAGATTATCCCTTGCCTACCACAGATTCCTACTAACCAATCATCTAATGATAGCTTTGACCGCCCTCTTCATAAGTCACAATGCTTTTAGTGATATATTCTAGAATCTGTCTTTATCTGGTTGTGGTTCTACAGGTCAATTATAATTTTTAGTTTAGATCTCTGAATCCCCTTCAGGAATGTAGAGTTATGTTCCGTCTTACCTTAAAAAAATAATAATTAAGTTAAAAGCTGAGCCTTTTAGTTCACAGCTGTGCCTTCCCTCCATACTTTATATTAGGAAAACCAATTTCTAATACTTTCATGACTTGTATAAGTTTTGAAACAAGGAATGTTTTTACTTCTCTTCCTTTTTACAACTATACTTCTGGTTCAGATGTTATCTACCTAAAATACCTAAGGTTAAACATGAATTACAAAATACACTATTAAGGACTTATTCTCCAAGGGTACTTTGTCAAAACTGCTTGCGTGCAGAGTGGCGTGTGACCAATTTCATTACACTGGTTTTATTGTTACTGCTCAGATGCCGGGCTCCTGTGTATGTAGCTCAGCATCATGGTGCTTCTCCACTCTGCAGACTTATTTACCATCCAGGAGGATCCTAAATCTAAGTGCCCCGTGTCTGTACTGAGAACCCACTTTACATTCCATACATCTGCATCTCAATAAGGACAGCCAAGAATCAGCTGGCTCGCATGAAGGCTATGAGGAGGAAAGAGCTGAGAGAGTATGAACAGCTCAGCTTGATGTCACATTTTAACGAAGGAGAGATTCAGAAGTTAAGCGACAACAGTCAATACTTAACGCCTAAATTATATTATCAAATGGATAAGACAGCAAAAACCACTTCCACTTCTAGATTCTTTCTTATTTATAAGGTAACTAAGTTGTAGATATAAAACAAACATGTAAATTAAAATATTCCAAATAAACTACAAAACATGACAAGATTCTAAAATTTGAATAATTCATATGAAAATATTTTTGAAAGCTTAGTGTATGGAAAGGGAGAAAAAGAGAATGACTAAATTAATTATGCTAACACTAAAATGAGTCATCAGCCAGTGGTCATCAGCAAAACAGAGTAAAAAGTAACACAGAAAAGAGCAAAATAAAGAGCTACAGTCATCCACACTACTGGAAAATGCACTGTTACATGCCTCAGGTATTTCTACTCATTGCAAATATTTAATCAAACCCCTGCTTTGTATGTAAGAAAGCATTTCTGTAGTTAGTGACAAAGTTTTACTAAAAAGCAGATGCAATCCTCCACTAATTTTTAGGAATGAGGCATGCAACTTAGAGTGACAGAGATATTCTGAAACCTACTAGAAAAAGTCACAGTTATCACATCCTAAAATTATCTATGATAAAGACCCTTAAGATATAGTCAGAACTGAATGACTTAAACATAAGAACACAATAGATCCCTCACTTTATTTTTGGCACAGAAAAAAAAAAGCACAGATTTAAAAAGCGTTAACGCCTACATTTAAAATGACAAATGTACAAACAATTTAGAAGAAAGTATGTTTTGTGTCTGGATCCAAAAAGCTCTTCCAAAGGCAACAAATTTTTAAGTTAAAACTATGCTAATGGGAAAAATTATTTGCTGATACATCTGAAAAGTGGTTAACATCCAAAATTTATAAAGTACTTACAAAACTCAACACCAAAAAAACAAACAACCCAATTAAGGGGCAAAGGACCTGAATAGACACTTCTCCAAAAAGGATATACAGATGGCAAATAGACATAGGAAAAGTTGCTCAACATCTCTAGCCATCAGAGGTGCAAATTAAAACCGCAATGAGATACCATCTCACACCTGTCAGAGTGGCTATCATCAATAAATCAAAAAACAACAAGTTCTGTTGAGGATGTGAAGAAAAGAGGACCCTTTTGCACTGTTGGTGGGAATGCAGACTGGTGCAGCCACTGTGGAAAGCAGTGTGGAATTTCCTCAAAAAGCTGAAAATGGAACTGCCTTTTGATCCAGCAATCCCACTTCTGGGAATATATCCAAAAGAACCCGAAACACTAATTCAAAAGAACATAAGCACCATGTTCATTGTCATGTTATTTGCAATCGTTAAGATATGGAAGCAGCCCAAGTGTCCATCAATAGACGAATGGATAAAACAACTATGGGGCATTTACAAAATGGCACTCTACTCAGCCATAAAAAAGAAAACAATTTTACCCTTTGCAATAGCATTGATGGACCTGGAGAACATTATGCTAAGCGAAATAAGCCAGTCAGAGAAAGACAAATACCATATGCTTTCACTCATATGTGGACTCTAACAAACAAACTGAACTAACAAGCAAAACAGAGGCATATACCTCATAGATGGAGAATAGATGACAGTAGTTGGGGGGGTGGAAGTTAGGGAGTGGAGGGATCAAGCCAAAAGGAAAAAGGTCTCATGGGCATGGACAACAGTGTGGTGATTGCTGGGGGGGCGGGTATAAGGGAACTAAATGGTAATGAAAAAAAATATAATGAAGATTATATATTTTAAAAAACCAAAAACTATGCTACCATAAAAAATGAATTTTATCAGAAATTACAAACACCCACGTTTTAGCTTCATTTATTTTCTGCGTTAGAAATGTGCAGTAGAATTAGAGTAATACTGAATCGAATAAATATGCATCTGGTAGATAATTTACATTATAATAAACTGATGGACAAAAATATCATTTTCCCCACAGTAGTAGTATATTTATTTTGCTGAAATCAGGTAGTAGGGAATGAATAGCTTTGGGGAACCAGTACAGAATGTTCACAAAGATTTACAAATCTCTAGTCATTACACACTGAGCAGCAAACACATAGGTGTTGAATCCTTTTAGGCCAAACTATTGTGTGTTGCAAATTTTCTGTAATTCTCATGACTGCATGCCTTTGGGGGAAAAGTGTGTAACTTTAATGTACAATAAATATTTTATAGTTTACAAATATTCTGAAATATTGGTCTGCAGAAACAGCATACATCCTGCACATGCAGTTTTGACATCTTGAGATATATAGAAATATTCATGCTTTTTTATTGGTCGTATTTTCTCTTCCCATAATGATGCCTGTGCCACACCCCTAACATTTTAACCTCTGTAATAAGACACTGTACAGTTGTTCACATATATTACATGAAATACTTCATTTGTAAATAGCAAATTTAACTTCCTGGTTCTGACTACTCTTACTGTTATAACAATCAAGCACTGAATTTAATGATCTTTAGCACCAAGGAGTCAAGAATATTGCACCAAAATGGGTTTATACTTCATCTATTTAATAAATAAGACCTTGCAACTCTGTCACAAAGGAAAGTATCACTCCAAAATTAAACATATTGAAAGAGAATAGTTTCACAGAAGAGTACGGTGTATGCCATTTGTAATAAAGAAAAAAAAACACTAGTGTATTCTAAAGTTAATAAAGTTAATATTAAAATCTTCATTAGAGGACTCCTTGATTTTTTAATTAAAATTTATTTAATTTTAAATGTTCTTTCCAACAGAAGAGGTAGGTATATTTCCACATATGAAAAATTGGTAACAGCCACAAATCAAAACATTAAAAGTCTGATAAAAATCAGCATACTGTTTTCTAACAGCATATTTATATAACTATTTTATGATGTTACTAATAAAGACATGAGTTGTTTCATGTTCCAATCAGACATTAATCTTAATTTGCATAATATATATTTCTGATAGTAACAAAAGTATTGAAAGGCTGCCTTTTCATCGCAAAAGCTCTTCCCCACAGTGATTTGTGCCACAAGGCATGGTGACCTTTGGGTCGCTACACAGGATTTTACTATAATTCATTTTTTTCACCAACACCATCATCATCAAGCCTCTAAAAAGTCTACAGAGATCATCAGATTTTTAAAATCAAATTACAACCAAAAGGGTATTTCAGACTAGTGGTGGAGAGAGTCGACCATTTCAGTCAGCAAATGAATTCAAATGTGCAAATTGTAAAGCATCTGCATTTCCAGCTTTGGACCAGAAAAATGTAAGGTAATTGATTTTAACTAGTAAATAATTGATAATTTAGCAAAAAAACTCATAAAGACTGTGTTTCTGTGATCATCAGACTGAAGAATGACAGCATATGATACATGAAAAATCTCATGCATTAGACAAACAGATGTGAACAGAGGGAGAGCCTCCAAAGTCACATTAATAATTGCTTTGGTCTGGACAACATCAAAGCTAATAAAAAAAATCTTTAAAATAAAAACTTCATAAATAAAACATTGGGGTATGGTCTTTAACACTTTGCTCAGTCTAAAGGTTACTAATACATAGCACATTTGCCTTTTTCTCCCCACCCCCAAACCCTCATTTGCTTCTGTTTTCCCTGAAATTTTATATGAAATGGGAAATTCCTTACTGTCAACTTAACAGTTAAGGCCCAGTTCAATTTACTCTCCTTTTGCTTTTCCATTTTTCTGCTTTTTCCCATTTTCCATCACCAGTTTTTCTGATTTGTTCACACCATTGGCTGAAACACCATTCACGGCTGTTTTTCCAGTTTTTGATTTCTTGGGCTCATTGTATGTCCGAATGTAGAAGTTGAGAAAGAGGAATATGAAGCTGATTGCGTAGGCGATCAGAGCCCAGTGCATCCACTTTGGGAAGGGGCAATCAGTGTAGAGAGACAGTGCCGTGTGCCCAATGGTCACAAAGAACTGAACCTGAAAAACAGAAACAATGCATGGTAATTAGTAAACAACTCCCAAATCTTCTCTATAGCTAACCTAGGCCCAAATGTTGCCACATTGTCCGAAGTTTAATAGTTCTCTGGCTCCCATGCCTGGCTCCCTCTCATTCAGGTAGGTGCTCAAATGCCATCTCCTCAAAAAGGCTTTTGATGACTAGAACTAAAGTGTCTCCACCCAACTGGCATTGCAATTCCACTAACCAAAGGGTTTTTGCTTTGTGTGGTGTGGTGTTTGTTTGTTTGTTTTTTAACTTCTAAGAATTATAGCTATCTGAAATTGTCTTTTCAATTTGGTGACTTCTGGACCACCTATCCCCTAATATGTGGATCCACTCATATGTGACTCCAAAAGCAGGACCCAGTGTTGCTCTGATGATTCCCGAGTCTCTGGCACTGTGTCTGCACTCAGTGAGTATCTGTTGGATAATTTGAGTATTATCTTCTAATGGGAGGAAATATCAGTGGCTCCCACATTTCAGACTGATTTTTTTTTAAGATTTTATTTATTAATTTTTAGAAAGAAGGGTAGGGAAGGAAAAAGAAAGGGAGAGAAAGATTGATGTGGGAGAGACAAACATCAATGTTGCCTCTCGCATGTGCCCCAGCTGGGACCAGCCCGCAACCCAGGCATGTGCCCTGACTGGAATACAACTGGTGACCTTTTGCTTTGCAAGACGATACTCAACCAACTGAGCCACGCCAGTCAGGGTGGGACAGATTTCTTTCCACGAAATTGTCAGCAAGCTGGTATACATAATTTTAAAAAGGAACTTCTTACAAAATAGCAGATAGGTAATAGGAATCTGAATGAACGCTATCCTTTAAAAACTAAGATCTTGGATAAAACTTAGTAGGTAGTTGAGAATAAGTGCAAAAAGACAGAATCACTTTCAACTTGAAGAGTGTCTAAAAGGAGAAAAGCCAAAATTAATATGCTTTTTATTAAGATGAAGGAAATTAGTTTAAATTCTAATTTATCAATGAGTGAAAGGTTCTCAAAATAAAAAGTTATAACTTTCATGGGAGTTAACGAGTGCTAAGTTCTCACAAGATTGACCTAAAGAAGCAAGAACTTCTGGCTTGGAAATATACTAGCCTTCATAAAATTAACATCCTATTTGGAACGGACAATTGTGGTTTCTCTTTTAAGGACAGTATTAACAGTATTATTATAGTAAATACTATTAAAGTAATTTATTTCAGGTAAGATTCAAATTTATTAAAAGTTTTTAAAATTTTCCATGGCAAAATCCAGATTTTAAGAAGTTTTGATTTCACAATCGTTCTTAGAATCTGCAGCACCGAAAAAGGGTGTGTGTACGTGGGTGTGACGGAGCAGGGCATCGCTCAAGGAGAGTCAGGTGCGGGTTCCTACAATACAACTCTCAACGGTTCATGCAATTTTTGTCATGTCTTTATTTTGGGGGGACCATTTACTAATTACTAATAGAAGTGAATTACACAAACTGTATACACAGCTTACACAAAAACTGAAGGAAACCTCCTGTAGCATTTTAGTTACAAATTAATCCTTCACACCCAGCATTTCCGAAAAGTTGTGCTTCCTGTTTGGTTAGTCAGCTGTTTAGCAACGTAAAGCAGAGATGAATAATATTTCCAAATGTGATTCCACTGATAAAACTGTGCACATACTATGATTAAAGCAAATTATAATAAATTCCAAGGCTATTGAAGAATAGCTACCAGGTTGGTTTTGGATTTCCAGTTTGATTACTGGGCTAGTGCCTAGCTCTGAAAGTTACACTGAAGCACCCAAATACTACATGCAGTCCCACTGGGGTATGTGCTGAAGGCTGCCTGTTCTAAAAACTAGCAATTTAAAATGCCCAGCTCTGCTCTCCAAGGACTTCATGTTGGAGAATTACGAGTTCTCTGGTCTTTGCTCCCTTCCTTTACCCCTACCCTTCCTTGACTCTATGCCTTTTCTGCAACTTCTATATTATAAATGTATGAGATGTGTTATTAAGGACTGAAAAATGGAAGAGCAAACAGAATAAATAGAGATAATAATAACATTGTAAGAAAATTTTTAAAAAAATCACCTGAGAAAGAAGTCATTATTTTTCTAGTCATATATGAGTCTATGTACTTTGTGGTGGGTTTAGATCTTCATCTGCCCACTTCACAGATACATTTAAAGAATAGTTCTCTTAGACAAGAGCTAGTCTAGTCTTTTAAAGGCATTTAAAAAGCAAGTGGCCATAACCAGTAGGTCTATGAACAGGCCAAGCAGCCTCAAACCCACAGATGGAGCATAGAGAGAGTTGAATTTGCAATAGAAAACTGACAAAAATGACTTAACACTTTATAATTAATAAACTCAAACATTCTCAGAGCTGCACTAGAAGAAACCTGAGAAGCATTTTACTCACCAGCTGCAACATGGTCAGGTATCGTTTCCACCAAAGGTATTTCTGAATCCACGGGCCAAATGCAGTCAACCCGTAGTATGAGTACATAATCACGTGGATGAAGGAATTCATTTGGGCTCCAAAGAATGCTTTAGAAAAACAGAGGTAATTACAAGACACAGGAAATTTTATTAGGCAATAAACCATTTGGCCATGAAATAAATGAGTCCACATTATTTTCTAATACTTAATCTTGAGTAAAGATTAGGAATAAAAGTTGTAACACTACTGGAAAAGCCTTCTCCTCAGATCATGCTAGATATTTTCAAAGTGTAGATTCAGGCTTTAAACATATATTTAAAAAAAGGATGTTCTTCAAATGCACAGGACTTTCAAAATAGTGACCTTTCAAATGGGGTACTCCAGTAGTTTAAGCAGTCCCTAATAGAGAACTACTGGCTATATTACTTCCCATTCTATTATTCTTGGGGGACACAGTCATGGTACATATAATGGTTTAAGTAAATTTGTAAATGTCTCATTATTGCCTTTACATATGCAAATACACATACCTACAAAAAGGACACTTACTTCTTAGGCTTCTAAATAATTTTAAATGAAAAGTAGCGAACTGAACTGTAGTATACTTAGTTGTATCATGGGTCCCTGTCAGAGGAATGATCTATTTCCAGCTCAATAATGCAAATCATCTTCAATCTACAGGTATCTAAAAAGCTGGAGGCAGACCTTAGCCTCCAGATCTGGAGGCTGGAGGCAGATCTGAACTATGAATTCAGATGATCTATATACATCAATACATCTATATACAATTTTCTTTGAGTAAGAACCAACAGGCTGATTTAAGGCCTATTTGAGAGCCGGAGTGGGCTCTGGGCTTGGACTGAAGATGAGGCCTTCGGAGTGAGCAGCTGTATCATGGTATCCTTTGGTGCAGAACCACAAGAATTGCTCCCCATCAAAATATTATTGCCTACATTTAGAATTATTTTATGCTCATCTCTGGGGCATTTAGAATTATTTTTATGCTCATCTCTGGGGCAAATCTTTAGGGGTTAAAGTAGTCACACATAAAAAGCTAATGTTTTACTTCAAATTTCTTTCAAATGAAATCAACACAGAAATAACCATAAAACAAGTTAAATTACAAACCAACTCAAATTCCTAGGTTCTCATTACCTTCCACCCAACATATTTACATAGGTTAATACCTACAGATATGTTCCTGAAAATGCTCACCTTGCCCCCCTGCAACCCATTTAATTCCAATCCACCACAATGTAAACATTGTACAGTGATGATACACATGAAGGAAAGAGACTTGGTTGTTTTTCTTCCTTAGGATAAAAAACACCGTGTCCAAATACTCAATTCCTTTAGATACAAAGTACCACCACAGAGCAGCAGCTATCTGTAAAAAGAAAGAGAAAGGATGTTACAAACACCAGAATGATACCATCACATGTTCTTCTATTAATTGCATTTAAGTCCTAAATAATTTTCACTACACAAAATGTATGAGGCATGAAATCATTTTTGCCTAAGTAGGTGTGAATCTAGTCATCTATCCTTGGGGGAAAATTGGGAAAGAGGAGAGTCCAAATATATATCCACTCTGTAGCAACAATAGAGAAAAAATTTCATGTTACAAAGCTGGTTCCCTGCAGCACCAAAGTGCTGAACAGAGAGCTGCAAAGACATTCACATTGCTATGTTTTCCAATTTGGTAGAGAAACTGAGGTATTTATTTTGTAAATGTACTTCAATTGTTCATGCTTAGCCTGTATTATACACCTCAGATATTCCTACAAGGATGTTTATGGGTAGCAACTGGTCCCTGTTAGTGTCTGTCTCTCTCACTTTAACACATTCAACAAAGCACTTAACCACAGTAGTTTGCTTTAGACAGAAAACCCTTTAAAATGATAGACTGAAATAAACAAGAAGAAACAACAAATATTTCCTAGGTTGTATATATAATCCTGCTTACATGAATAAGTCTTTTCTTTTCCTGGGCTCTAATTAAGACACCAGATGGCACAGAAAGATTACTATACATGCTGAGATTAAGGATCCAAAGATCCAGTGAGAGGTGACCTCTGTATATATGTTTTAAAATATTTTACAAGAATTCTACTAGAGCAACCTAAACTCAACTTTTTTTACGTCAAATATTTTCTATGATATGTGTCCTATGTGTACATAACAAAGAAGGCAGTAGGTAATCAATAACCCTTTGTGCATCAGGGGTTTGACAGACTTGGTCGCAAACAGGCCCTGATGTTTTAGAGTTCCTAGCTCCCTTTCTCATTTTATCCTTCTACCCGTTGGATAGCATAAGTTCTTATTTGTTTGTTTGTTTTCTTTTGAAAAACAAAATTATATAAAGTGTGGGCCAAAGAGAAAATAAAGCTGTGTGTTTACAGTTTGAGAATTTTTACTGAATATGCTTAAGTAATAATATTGTTGAAAATTCTAAAATTGGTTGAAAATAGGCTTGAAATAGTTAACTGCTCACAGCAACACAGTATTTAATAGTCATTATGATGTTAGTACTTTAAAATAAGGTAACCGTTTTGGCATAGTAAACTTTATCTAGAAGGTAAGAGATAAAGTCTTCATGCCCTCCCCAACCTGGGCTTCTAAGTTAGCCACAATTTATAAATAGCAATAAATAATTCCTATCTTTCATTTGTAAACTGCATTAGGTATCTCTGATGAGCTACATCAAAGGGAAAAGTGATATTTCCTGGTTACATAAGAAAAAATACAAAAACAAGTGTCTGAGTAAAGTATTTATTCTACAACATCTAATATTAAAGGGAGAGGGAGAAAAAATTCAAATGCAATCTGTTAGGAATCTCTGGTTCTTCCTCCTCCTGGATTTCAGTTCTCACAATACCTAATTTTCTTTTTCAAAGTACTGACTTTTATGCATACCAGGAGGGTAGGTTCACAATCACCAGAATGGTATTTTTAAAACTTTATCCTAAAAATGTTAATATGTTGTTTCACCCAAGGGGTTTTTCTAAGTGCACTCCTAAATGAAAACAAGTTAAACACTTTTTCCTTTTCCTCTCCCCCAAACCAGGCAAGACCACAGAAGTCAGATCTCTACTGAGGAGGTTCTCTAACAGTATGGTTATCTGAAAAAAACTGTTTTTTCCCCTAGCCCACAAAACTAAATAAAGCACTCCCCTCATGCTCTCTCAGTCCCAGCCCAGGCTGTATTTTCTTGTTAATCATCTGTTTACATCACTGTTTGCCTCTCCCACCCTTCACTAGAATGTCACCTCCACAAGCGCCCAGTTCTCTGTCCTCCCACCTGTGTCCCCGGTGTCTCTCACACTACCTGCATGTGACTGGTGTTCAGTACACATATGGGTGAATGACTAAAACAAACATGACAACCAAAGGGGTGATTTTTTTCATCAGCATGAAAAGTCTGATAGGAAAATGAAGACATAGACATATCATGGGAAGTACATTAAAGCAATCTGATCTTGGGTCTTGATGAATACTGCCCTTTATGTTATCCAACCCCAATGGCAAAAAGCTATTTTTCTCAAGGGAAGCTACTATATAGTATATTATTACTACATATATTACATGTAACATTAAATATAGCATGTTCATTTGTGTTATGTATACATAATTTTAATATAAACCGCAGTTCACAATAGTCATTCAATAAATACTTAATAAAATGAGATAACTTATTGTTTCTTCAACGAGTAAAATGTTAACTTTACTAATATAGGTGACTGGAAAGTAAATTATGATAACATTCTATTGCTATTGGTTTATTTTTTTTGCAAATATAATAAAAACTGAGTCCATACCTATACAAATTGTGCTACACTCAACTTACTATAAACATTACATAGTTTATAAAACATTTGTTTTTTTTCTTAGACTTTCTTAACAAAGAATTAGGGTCTCTTCAGGCACTTCTATTTTTAACCAAAAACAACCAAAATCTAAAATATCTTTACACTAAACATGGAACTTTTTTAAAAAAGTACTTCATTCTAGTAATCCAATACATATTCACTCTCACACCACCAAATGAAAGACACTGGATGTATGAAAACAGATTTTTAATTATGTACTTAAAAAAAAGCAGAGCTTTACTGACTCAAATCAATCCAGTATATTTTTACCACTATATAAAAGTATGTTTTTCACAGGCTGGGGACTATAAAATTAGACCCACTTTGACTGATTTAGAGTATTTTTAATGTACTTACTCTGACTTCATGAACATTATCAGAATAATCCACACTCTGGCAAATATAGCTATATCCTGCATTATATGATCCCAGGAATAACTGGAAAAAAAAGAATATTTGGAGTAAAGTTTTAATAGATATAGCATTTAAAAACACAAAATACAATATGCAATCTTTGAAATTATTTTAAAAAGGAGTCTTTAAAATTTGAATGCATTAAACATTTAATGTGTTGTAATTTTTAAAGTTTACTGTGTGGATTTATTCTAAAATTGAAATCTAAAATAAAAATTGCATATAAATTTTGAACTAAAACATCAATTCTATCCACTTCATAATATTAAGAGAAATTTTGATTGACCATAACTCAGATCTAAGAGTTGCACTGATTTCTAGTCTTGATCCAGAGTTATTTATATCTAACAAATTAGGTAAAAGTACCAAATAAATAAATATTTTTTTTTACCAAGTTGAGATTCTGTAACCTATGTTGTCAATTAAAAAACAAAAAATTTTTAATACTATTTATTTTCCTAGCATCACTCAGCCAGTTCTCTGCATTCATACAGAATTTTAATGAAAAGTCTTCTGGGAAACAAATTCCTTTCACTCTTACCTTAAAAAATAGCTGTATAAATCTAGCTTTTAGGATTTCCCATCATGGAGAATTTGCTGGTGCCCAGAAAAGTATACAACGATTAGTAGCAATCATTGTATAACAATTAACTCATTTTACCTCCTATCCAAAATACAATGACAATATGAAATAAGACTTAATTTTAAATTGGTATTTTACACCTGCATAATTTGACCATTTACAAACCTGAAAACTGCTGAGGAAGAATTATAAATAAATATATGCAACTATTTACTGAGTGTTTAATATGTGGTAAACACCACACAAAAATTATCTCACTTTCATTTCTGATACCCTAGAAGGTAGCTGTTTTCCCCATTTTATGGGGAAATGAGTCTCAGAAAAATTAAATAGCTTACAATGTCAGAACAGCTCATAAGAGTGATCTTAGAATCTAGTCTGCTTCAAAATCCCATTTTACACACCTGTCTTACACCTATGTATGTTTTATATTTTTGTCATCCCAAAATGAAAAATGTCAATAATAGAAGATTTATTTAGTTATTTATTTATTTATTTTAAAGATTTTATTTATTTTTAGAGAGGGGGGAGGGGGGAAGAGAAGGAGAGAAACCTCAATGTGTGGTTGCCTCTTGCATGACCCCCACCAGGGACCTGGCCAGCAACCCAGGCCTATGCCCTGACTGGGAATCGATTCCCAGGCTGGCCCTCGATCCTCTGAGCCACACCGGCCAGGGTAAAATTGACTTTTAGGGTAACAGTTACACTGGGATACAATGTCACAATAATGGTTTTTCATATTCTCATTTTTTAATTTCCAATAACCCTGGGGAATTATAAACTAAGTTTAGTAAACCTACCTCTCTGAAGATAAAAAGATTAAGCAAAACCATCCCAAAATTATAGATAATGAGCACTAAGCGCATCTGAAAAGGTTCTCGGGACTTCATCCATTTTGGACCCAGCCACACGAACAGGAGATAAAGAGTACTTATACAAAGCGTTGGCAATGGAGAATGCATGAGAGGCCAATTTTCCACACGTTTATCTACAGAGAACACAAAATAACATAAAATTCATTATACAATAAATGTCTTATAAAATGAACTTATTAGGAATTATGTTTCAAATTAATTTCCTAATTTGATCAAATACGTATATCACTGTCCTTTCAATCACAACAAAAACACATGGCATAAAACCCAAAGAAATTCGACCAATTCCTGTGAGCAGCTTTTGAAAATGAAGTTTCATTACATGTGGCACTCATTATGTTTTACAGAGAACCTACAGAACAAAGACAAGAATTAATGCTCACTAAAAATGTGGAACAAATTTGGGATAAGTAATGAAAGACTTCACAGACAGAAAAATAGTAAATAATTTAAGGAGAAACTTGTCTTCCATATTAAACATGTGAAATTCATCAGTGCACTTTGGAAGCTGCTCCCTCCTATGTCTAAGACAGGAAAGAATTAGCAAACTGAAGAAGTGTGGGGCAATGAGAGCCATTTCCTGGGATATTTCTGGATACAGAAGACAAGGGTACAGTTATATTTGGATGATTTCCTTCCGTAGATATCCTTACGGTTCTGTCATTTATTTAAATGGTAATCATAACATTCAAGTCATTTTTCTAACTTTTTCCTTGAGAACTCGTCTATTTTTTTTACCCATGAATGTAACTAATTTATGTGCTTCTCTCTAAAGCTATAAATCATTTACCTTATATATGTATAAATATATACATACAAAATGCAAAACTATTTCATTTAAAATGAATAAAATGTCCTTAATATTTAAATAAGCAACCAGGAATCAACTTTACAATATTTCTGCCACAAGTAAAACATTTCTAAGAGAAGCATGAAAATGAAATATGGGATTAACAAAAATTAATTTTCTAATACAATTATAAAAAGATATTGAAATTAAATTATATTTCTAAAAGCTAAACAGCCTTTAAAAGGTTGTGAAACTAATGTCTAGTTTATACTTAGTAAGGCAGAACATTTCTAGGTTCTATTATCAGGAATATTATATATATTTAAAATAGTAAAAAAAAAAAAATTTCTACCTTTCAGCCAGTTCCTAAACCTAACTGAAATAAATTTGATTTACTTCCTCATTACAATGTCCTCTATTTAAACTGTCCATTTTACTAAAACCATGTATGTAAAATAGCTCTAGATCGGACAATTACATCTCAAAACACTTTAAAATAATCTGTTCCTACATACTATCAAGAGAAAATAGACCCAAGACGTCAAACACAAGTAGAACAAGATCTAATCGCATGGTCTCCCAAGTCAGGAAGTGACATAGTAACTACGGTTTCTACGAAGTCAGAGTCGCTACGATGGTGGAGTAGCGATCTGAGAAAAAAAATACGTATGAGAACAAGAGACTGTTATTTTGTTTCATAGTTTATAGGAGACCAATTATCTGTATATTCACTGATGGTCCTACCCCTTAAATCAAAACATATTTCAGAGTTAAACTAAAATACATAAAAAGACAGGGGAGAGTAAATCTCTCACAAGAAGGAAGGGAGTGGCTTTTTGGTTGAAGGCATTGTGCCACTATGGTCCTATCATTGGTTGTTTACTTTTCTTCAATGTTGTCATGTTATCCTTCTATGACCATATCGTTCTATGCCAATGGCCCCCAGAGAACATGGGAGTCCTTATCTCTTTAGATCTTTTTCTACATCATAGAAAAAAAGTGTAATACAGACCCCCTAACCCTTAAAGCCCTGCTCTACTTCAGATCACTAAAGGAGTTGCTGTGGTGTGCTATTCCTGTCCATAAACTCAAACGCAGGTACTGTGTCTTCCATGAGATTGATACAAAGAGCAAAGGACTCCTTTAAGAGATAATCTATGTAACAAAGAAAGGAAGATAAATTCATCTGTAAAAAGATTCTAATTTCTACCATCATTGGTTATTTCTCACTCTTACCACACACAGAATTCCTACTGACTTCAAAGAGGTTCTAAGATGGAGGCATAGGCAGACATGCTTCGCCTCCTCGCACAACCACAAAAAGAATTACAACTGAATCTCAAAACAGATAACACCCAGAAGTGCCAGAAAACTCAACTGTATGTAAGTCCAACACCAAGGATTTAAAGAAGCCACACTCGTCCGGCTGGGTAGGAGGGGCAGAGACGTGGAGATGCACAGAGAGATGTGGAGAGTGATGTGGTGTGCAAGGAAAGGTGACAGCAGGGGCAGAAGGGGCACAGGTGGTCCCACATTCACATGAGGTAGATAAAATTCAGGAGGGACACCTTGGGAACCAGTGATCTCAGCCCCAAGCCAGACCACACAGCCCAGGGTCCCAGTGCCAGGAAGGTAAATCCCTATAACTTCTGGCCTGTAAAAAACCAGTGGGTGTTGGGGTGGTGGAAGAAACTGCCAGATTTTCAGATAATTCTGCTCAAGAGGCACTCACGATCTTAAAACGTTTGCAAACCCACCCACTCTGGATTTCAACACCAAGGCCAAGAGGTGGAGGGGTGCCGGTCGCATATGGGGAGTAGGCAAAGTGACTAGAAACTGAGAGAGTGATGGAAAAACCCCCAAAAGCTAGGCAGTGGCACAATTCTCTCTCAGAGCCCTCCGCCAACACAGAGCCACAAACCAGTGAAGCAGGTTGCCCCACCGTGGCAATTACCTAAGACTCCGCCCCACACAGTTCACAGGTGCCTTTTACAGGGAGTCAAAGCAGCTCTACCTAATATACCAAAACAAACACAGGGAGGCTGCAAAATTGAGGAGACAAATATATATGGCCCAAATGAACTAACAGAACACAACTGCAGAAAAAGAACTAAATGAAATGGAGATAACCAACCTATCACACGCAGAGTCCAAAACACTGTTGATCAAGATGCTCAAAGCACTCAATGAGTACAGCAACACCATAAAGGAAGAAATGAAGGCTACACTAAGTGAAATGCAGAAAAATCTACAGGGAACCAAGAAAGAAGAGAAGGAAGCCAGGATTCAAATCAATGATTTCAAACATAAGGAAGAAGTAAACATTCAACCAGAACAGAAAGAAGAAACAAGAATTTTTAAAAATGAGGGTAGTGTAGGAAGACTCTGGGACATCTCCAAAAATGCCAACATCCAAATTATAGGGGTGCCAGAAGGAGAAAAGGAAGAGCAAGAAATTGAAAATTTATTTGAAAAAATAATGAAAAATCATGGGTCCTTTATACAGGTTCCTTGACTTCTTCAGAAAAAAATAATAATGCAAGAAAACTTCCCTAATTTGGTGGAGGAAATAGACATACAAGTCCAGGAAGCACAGGGTCCCAAGCAAGGTAGACCCAAAGAGGACCACAATAAGACACATCATAATTAAAATGTCAAAGGTAAAAGATAAAGAATCTTAAAAGCATCAAAAGAAGATAGTTACCTACAAAGGAGTATCCATATGACTATCAGCTTATTTCTCAAAAGAAACTTTGCAGGCCAGAAGGGACCGGCAAAAGGTATTCAAAGTGATGAAAAGCAAGGACCTACAACCTAGATTACTCTGCTCTGTCCAGCAAAGCTATCATTCAGAATGAAACGACAGGTAAAGTGCTTCCCAGACAAGGTAAAACTGAAGGAGTTCATCACCACCAAGCCATTATTACATGAAATGTTAAAGGGACTTATTTAAGTAAAGGAAGATGATCAAAACTGTGACCATTAAAAAGGCAACAAATTCACGCCTATCAACTGAATCTAAAAGCAAAATAAAACAAAACTAAGCAAACAACCAGCACAGGAACAGAATCATAGATGTGGAGATACCTGGAGGGTTATCAGCTGAGAGGGAGAAGGGGGAGGATGGGGAACAAGGCGCAGGGATTAAAAAGCATAATTGGTAGGTACAAAATAGACAAGGGGATGTTAAGAACAGTAGAGGAAATGGAGAAGCCAAGCAACTTATATGCATGACCCATGGACATGAACCTCCTTAGGGGAGGGGCGTTGCTGGAGGGAAGGGGGGTACTGGATGGAGTGGGGGGAAAGGAGTAAAAATTGGGACAACTATAAAAACATAATCAATAGAATATATTTTAAAAAAAGAAAGTCCTGAGCAGCAAGTAAAAGAATTTAGAGAAATAGGTCCAAAATTCCCTGAAAACAAGGTTACACAATGGAATTCTACATAGGAGAAAGAAGGAAGGAACTCCTACCCTTTGTGACAGCATGGATGGAACTGAAAGTATTCTAAGTGAAATAAGCCAGGCGGTGAAAAACAAATACCATGTGATCTCACCTGTAAGTGGAACCTAATCAACAAAACAAGCAAGTGAGCAAAATAGAACCAGGGACATGGAAATAAAGAACGAACTGACAGTGACCAGAGGGGAGGGGAGGGGGATAAGGGGGGAAAAAAGGGGAAGAGGCGAGCCAAGGAACACAACAGTGGGCTCACGGGCACAGACAATGGGGGGGAGCGCGGGACAACTGTAACTGAACAATTTTTTTTTAAAAATAAATAAAAATCTGCTGTCTTTGATGTATTGTGGATAACCTCTACTATTCTCTCATTCAACAGAAAAAAAAAATTAAAGAGAAAGCTAAAAGAGAGAGAGAGTGAGAAGCCAAAAATATGACAATATGAAACACTAAGAGAGGCCAACAGAAGAGTAAAAAGGTGAAGCAGAGTAGATAGAACAGGTATCAGAGAAATCATGCAAGACTATCAGTAAACAGAGCTTTAATGTCAGCTCCGCATGAACACAATGTCTTCATCTCATCTATAAAACCTGATAGACAAGTGAACTAGGTTAGTGCTTCTCCAACTTTAATGGGAAGAATAATCACCTGGGGGTGGGGGGAAGAAAAGTGTTAAAATGCAGGTTCAGACTCGGGTCTGGGGTGCAGCCCATTTTTAGGAAGACCCTGCATTTTCTAGAAAGCACTAACTAATGCTATGCTAATTATTCCATGGACCACATTTTGAGTACCAAGAAACTAGGTGATCCCTTAAGCTTTTATTTAACTTCTGAAAATTGTTACTTTTTAAAATAATAGTTG